CATTTCTCTAATCCAAGATTCTTTAAAATTTTGTCTCATATTTCATGTTTTACATCAATGCATCTTTCTTCCAATCCAATTGTCTTTACAATTCTGTTTTCCAAAACCATGTCAGTAAAATCACCAATCTGGAAAGCTTTCAGGAAATCCATGCCAAAAGTCACGTCTACTGAAGGACTAAGTACTAGATTTAGTAAGGTGCTATAGACCTGCTGATATTTTTTCCATTATTAGCCAATAATATTAGTTAATGTGAATGAACTAGAGACTCGTGGTTATTAGTTATGCATCATACTACACTATTATTTCAAAGTAACTTTTTTATTGTTATGGAGTGACAGTCTGATAATACCCTTAGAATTAATTAGCTTGCACATAGCTGACAAACCATTTTGTGTCTTGAACTCCTAATTTAAAAATAGCTATGCCACTAGACCTAGGAAGAGAGAAGTCAGATACAAAACAATTCCTACCAGTGAAGCCTGTGGGACAGCGGGCAACAACCATTCCTTTTGACTGATTCTGCTTCTTTATCAACCAAGTGAGATATATAGGCAAGAATAAACCAGAAAATAACAGTTGTAAGCTACGTGTGAAATCAATTCAGAAGACACGTAGATCCCTTTGTGAAGATTTAGGGCAGTTCAGGCTTTAAGAATAAACATTTAGAGACAAAGAGCAATGTCTGCAGGCAGTGTAAGTCATGCATTTTCATTAGCTTAAGTGCAAATATGGAAATACACACCAGAGTAGATCTGACCCTCAGTGTTACCCAGAGCATATTCCTTACTCACAGAATGCCCTCTAAAGGATGAATGTAATGCGTAATCTTATTTGATAATGTATGTTCACGTTTCAGAAGATGCTAGGGAATTATTAGCCTTTGACAGACTTCCTTTTGGCTTTAGCAATTAGCAGAAACGAAACTCCTTAAGATTAAATTTCTCCTTTGGACCATGCATAATTTTAAGGCTTTTTCTATAACCCCATAAAGTAATGATAGAAGCCAAACACTGAGTTTTCAAATAATTGTGCAGTGATTTAGCCAGCTTCTGTTGAAGCTGTTCAGACTATGAAAATGAAATTCTTGGCCTTTAGAGCTCCTTTGAAAAGCATGTCCTCTCTCCCCAGTATCTGAATATAGCATGTGACCATAGGGACTTCTTGATGGAACCGAGGAGCAGGGTTTTTGGGCATTGTTTAAATTACTGTTCACGTATGTTTTAAGTTTGATTGAACATATCCTCATCACAAAGAAAATAGCATTCTTTTAGTGTTGGAAAGTGAAATTGCTACATAAAGCAGTGCTGAAGCCTTTCAGAGGAATGGCAAGGGTCTGTGCCTTAATAACCAAACTTATTGATGCAGGAAAATGAAATGAAAGTCGATAAATTGGTGAGGAAATGGAGTTCAGTGAATTGTTCAGTCCATTCCTTGCTGAATTGGTCTCTACCATACATTATTGTCTACCCTGCCCAACTCAGTTTTAAATAATGGAGCTCCTGACATTTTTCTTGTTACCTTTGCAAAAGTAATGGCTTCCTCTTTTTGTTCACTTGACAGGCTAAAACATATTTAAGTGGAAAAAACTGATGGTAGACCAGTATTTGTCTGAATTGCACAAAGGGTTCATTAAAGCAGCAGCCTCTGGTGAAAGTTTATTCATGTGTAAAGGTACCTGCAGGTTGGTCTGGATTCTTGGTGGAGGCTGAGCAGAAGTAGCCACTTGTCACAATTGCAGCATTGGATATAACCTACATAGAAGAATACTTGTCCTTACTCATTGACAAATATCTTGTTTCCATCACACGGGAGGAAGAAACTGTGGAAAAACAAAATTAGTAGAACAGAAGGTCTGTATTGGAAATGATTACGTAAAGTCAACTGAGTCTAGGAAATCCTTATGAAAAGTCCACTGACTACAGTAATTTGTATGTAGGTGCATACACTGTAAGACTTTATATCTTGATTAAAAGAGATCAGGTATGGAGTTTTCTGTTCAGGAGGTAATCAAGAGTCCTGTTGCTATTGAATGCCAACAGATCTTTCAAAAATCTGTTTCAGTGGCTAGGCAGGGCAGGGCAGGGCTGGGGAAGCTGGAGCCTGGCCCTGCTGCAGCATCACTGGGGCAGGGGCTGATGTTTTGTCAGCTGCCTGTTACACTGGGTTGAATGGGGCACAGGGGCTGTGCCTGCCCTACCCACCACAGTCCTGATCCATCCTGAATCTGGCTTCATCTCAGCAAGAAATGCAACAGCAGGGAGGTTGTAGGAGTCTATGTTAAAGCAGTGCGTTCCTATGGTAACAGACATCTTTCAGTCCTGACCAGGTGAATTACCACAAATGGGGCCCAACCTACCTCATAGCTGCATAAAATTGCAACTAAAGACCTACATGCATTATTGCTTTGGAGAGTGCTGGCAATGTTTAGGATGTTCATTTGTTCTGAGGAAGTCTAACTACTCACTAATGCATGGGAAAGCACTGGAAGGATGAGGTGACTGTTACTGTCTCAGATTAGCTGATTTTTGAGGCAATCAACAGGTATAAAGTATTTGAAATACCTCTGACTATTTATTATTTCTGTGAGTGACTATCAAAGCCTAAATAGCATAGGTGACAGGCTTTTAAGCATGAAGTAGCAAGTTACCTAGAGAGAGATATTTCCCTTTCCCAGGGTAGGTTTGGAGTATTTTTGTTTCACTCCAGCTGGCAAAGCCTTGGCTGATGCAGTAACATCTGGAGAACTATCTAAATTCTTAAATGCTGTGGGACAGAGCCAGAGGATAAAGAACGTTATCCAAAGAAAGGCGTATGGGTTTACACAGTCTGGCCACTGGGTCACCAGTAAAGGCTGGATTTCATTCACAGAGCCATGAAAGCTCAGCACAATCCACCACTTTTTCCCCAGCTTTTCAAATGTATCTTGGCAGCAGAACCCCCTTTGCCAGATCCATTCTCAGCACTGTGTTTTGTCAGCCCTTCCCCTGACCTGAGAAAGGCTTTCTAACTCAGTGTGTCAGGAGCCAGGTTAGTCAAATAAAGCCATTTCTTCTTTTCTGTATCCCTCTTTTCTGTTTGGGATTCCCAGCACTGGGATCTCTCTTTTCCAGAGGTGAAAAGGACAATGTGTATGAGCAAGCACTGCCTGCCTATGGGACATGCCAAGGCATGCTCATGCTGAAGACAAGCAATCAAAGAATTTGGAAGGTACATCATCTGCTATCTCATCTCAGGGAGAACCATGGTTACTCAGACATTGACTCAAAGAATTTGGGTTAGCATTTTTCTAATTAATCTTTTTATCACTTTTTTTTTTTTTTTTTTCACTTCAGAGTAAATCTATTAAGGGTTTCCTGCTGATTTTAAAGAAGAAAAGAAAAAGGTTTTTAATCAGAGCTGTACAGTTCATGTACCTAATGAATTAATAGTAATTGAATATAGCGGAAGTTTCTTCAAAGCACATCCATGGAGTATAGTAAAACCTCCTTTAACAGGTTTAGTTCCATGCCAGTGATGTTTTAAGGGGATTCTCCATCATATATTGGCTTGAATGTATGGTTTTATTCCATATATTCTCTGGAGTTCATCCAGGTACTATTTGCTTGGATATCCAGTGGTATAAATTATAGCTGTGGGTAATAGATCCAGGCACACATATACTTGTTGATTAATACACTTCCTAAAATTTTGTTATTCTCTGTATGTAGTTCTATGAAGGCCTAAATGGATTATCCCTACAGACTACCAAAAATAGCCAATATATTTCCATTTAAATTGTTCTAAGCACTACTTTAATCTTAAAGTTAAGGCTGCAAAATATCTTTAATCAACAGATTTGAAAAAGAAAATTCAGGCCACGAGAGGCCTTCCTGAATAAGTACTGCCTTAGCAATACATTAATCACACTTTCTTAGGGAAAAAGAGAGATTCATAGTGGAACACACTTCTCCAGATCAAGAAATCATTGTATAGGAGAGAGTTTCTGGAGAAGATTCTTGTGTAAGAATATCCTCCCTAACTTCTCCTTCAAAGAAAAGCCTTCAGGTATGGATGCAGACTTGGACCTTCAGAACTTGTCCACACATTTTTTGAGGACATTTGAGGTCATAACCGTACTAGGCTCAGGATATAATAGTTGAATTGATATTACCCTACTGATGAGGATGATTCCTGAGCCTCACAAAAAGGTGCCTTTACAGTGTCTAGCCCTTTTTGGTATGGTCGCAGATATACTCTGTATTGGCTTAGGTTTCTTCATCCTACTGTGACTTCATCTGCACTAGCAGCTTGCAATGATGTACCTGCACGGTTCACAGGGCAAAGCACTTGAACAGATCTCAGCTAGTCCTGCTCAGCCCCCTCCTATGGCAGCACATGTCGGAGGGGCCTGGGCAGGAAGAGTTCAGCAGATAATGAAATATTGCTTTGATTTCTTTGGTAATTCAGTTTCTTCAAGAATTTCACCGATGCCCAAAGGGTTTCTGCCTTCATGCAAATCAAGGGACTGTTCAGTCTTGTTTTATGTGGGGTCTTTTTGTTATAGATGAAGGTACAAGCCTTTTAACTGAAAAGCAAAGAGGCTTGGCTCTGACAGAGGGAAGGAAGCTCACATATACAACAACAAAACCACACTGTGCTTTAGACCGGTGCACCTTAATGTTAAGTCATCCACACTGCTCTGGGTCAACCCTCATCACACAAAGTAAAAATTCCTTATCCTGGGAAAAACCAAGCACAAAGGCAATTGCCTCAAAAGACTAATTTGTAAGACTTAAATCAGAGTTTAGTAAAATCTAAGCTTTAATTTTCAAAAAGCTCTCTAGTCTTCTTTTTTTTTTTTTTTTTTAAATGCAACCTGAAAGCATGCCAAGACTGTAAAGCCACAAGGCATTAATACAATACATATATATATATATAATATCTTTAAATTATACAATAAAGATGGAATGAATTAAGTATATTTGATCTCATGGTTTTCAGATTAATATCCTCCTTCTCTAAGCTCTCTGTGTTGATTCTGGAACATTCATAGCTCTCAATATTGAAAAATCTTCCCTTAAGAAAGAAAATAAAAAAGCTACAAAGCAAGTTTTTTTACCAAGTAATTGAAAATCTGAAATTAAAATGTGAGCTTTTTTTAGTTAAACTGTTCCCATAAAAAGTCTGATGTATTGGCTGGCTAAGATCTCTATTATGTCCTGCCAGAATGTAGATCTGAATTTCAATGTCTCTTTAATGTATATTTTTTTCCATTTTCAAGAACTCTCTTTCTAGAGCTCATCATCTGATGTTATGCATTAAAATTCATAAAATTCAGCAGCTTTGTATTAAATTTAGGAAACATTCAAACAATTTAGCTGTCAGAAGGGTCTTGATAAGGACCTAGAAACCTCTAATATCTCAGTGTGAAAAAGAGGGAGCTTAGGTGTGCTTATTTGAACTTGATTTATTATTATCAGAGAGTGCTGGTGCCTGGAGCACCTGAATGTCCTTCTAAAGGTAACTCCTGGCAAGTGGTGAGGAACAGTCAAACAATTCAAAAGCAGAATTAATTTTTGGATGCTCTTTTCTGACATGATAGCCCATGATGTGTTCTTTAGGTGATAATAGTGGTACCAAATTAGCTCTTAGCTGGAAGGACCTGTGCTGAAAGGTGCTCTACCAGGATTCCTTTCTAGTTGTGACAAGTTTTTTATCTATTAGAAATAGGGCAAATATAAGGGAAATTCATTACTCCATTAATGGAAAAACTCCTCCTCATTTGAGTCTGCATGTCCAAGTGGGTTTATCTCTTGGAAAATTGGTATAACAGTGTTTAAGTGGATATAATAATGCTTGCACACCTCAAAAGAAAGTTGTGAGACGTAATAGGCTGATTAATTGACTTTTGTGCTGTGTGAAATGTTTCTATCAATTCTTAGATTTCGTGTGTGTGTCAAAAATAAGATAGACGGATAAATGTGTAGTTACACATACAGGAAAAAGAAATTTTGACTTCAAATACAAAATGTTGTGTTTTGAGAGACCAGGAACAAGACCTTGGGGAGCTTATAGATAGATAGTTCTATGAAATTGTCACCTTAGTGTTCAGCAGCAGTTTGAAGAGTAAAGAGATACTCATAAGTATTAGGAGAGGAATAGAGCAGAAAACAGAAGACATCATTATGACAATAAGTACATTCATGGTTTTCCCACATCTTGATAGCTGTGTGCAATTCTGGTCCTCTCATTTTAAAAAAGTATGTCCTTAAAGGGGAAAAGGTTCAGTTCGTAGTGACAAGGGCAATTCAGAGGTCTGGAACAGTATCTGTGTGAGGAGAATCAAGTTACATCTACCAGTGCACTTACTGCACTTCAGTTCAAACACAGGACAGTCTTGGAGCACCTGAAACTGAGTTCCCTTTGGATGAAACAAAACCAGTCCATGTCCTGGAACGTGCCTAATACAATGCTGGAACATGCCCAGTGCAATCCAGCTGCTATTGAGTGTAAGATTTGCAGGACCAATTTTATTCTAATTGGAAGAAAAACAAATGGTGAGGATGCTGGAGACTCTATATCAATAATTTTATTTTGCAAATGCACTCCTATTACTTGTTCTACAATGCAGGCATAGCTGAGATGGACGCTTCAACCTGAAAAATAACTTATTTATTTGAGATATGAGAGAGGTCAACATAATTCCAAGTGGCATGGAGAGAAATGCTGGAGATCAACTGGTTATTGTATTTTTCAGATACAGATCCCATAGAATTAGGTATTACATTAATTTGGATCAGGTTCAAAACAAAGAAAAGGCTAAAACCAAAGACTTCAAAACAAAAGTTCTTTGTGTGGCATGTAGTGGTCCTCCAGAACTCCTTGTCAAAGGAAGTTTTATGTGGGTGAAGTTCAAGTGGGTGTGAAGACAGACTGGACAAATGCTTGGAAGAGAGATCTGTTGATGTTAAAACTGGATTACCAATTGCATCAGGATCAGAAAATCTCTTTGGGTGAAAGTGGCTGGATCACTTATGCTCCCTTTTCTTTCTCTTCCCTGCATGTCCACTTGTGACCACTGCTGGAGATGGAACATTGATCAAGGTAAGCCCTTGCTCTGAGCCAGTGGTATGTTCTTTCTTCTGTTATATTTTGTCCTTATATACCTTTCTTCTATATATAAGAAATGCTTTAAAAATGATCTTTGAATAGGCAATTAGATCTGAATTTTACCTTTGTGGCTGGTGCTGGTGATTTCCATATTAGTAATATTTCTCAAAAAACTATGCATGTTAAATTATAGTGTGTTTTTCTAAGGAAGTTTTAAATGAGTCATTTAGATGATTTTCAGCATCACAGCCTACCTAAACTCTAGACGACTGCAACAATAAAGGGTATTCATTTGAAGCAGCCACAATTCAATTTCCTATTGATATTTTATGTTCCTTTTGCTTTAAGCTTTATTGTTTCATCATTGCATAATTTCACAGGTGTATAAAAAAGCTGGGTGTGTTAAATATGCATTTGGAAAAGAGGAGGGGAAACAGCTGAGGAGACCTCAGGTCTTCTTAGTCTTGGTGTTTGTGTCATTTTTTGGCATAATATATATTTATGAATGCCTTTATACAGTAATGAAATAAATCCACCTTTGGGTTGAACGTGACAATTTTTAGCAATAAACAGCAACACTATATTTGACATTTATGACATGCAAGGAATGCAAGGCCTATTGCAATAGTAGAAGTTTTGAAACATTCTCCTTAGAGAGATGGTAAGTTAGGTGATGTTGTGCCAAAGCTGTAAGAGGATTGTCAAATAAAGGGCAATTGGTTTAAAGTGATGGTTCTGTGCTTTGGGAGAAAGCAGCTTGCTTGATCTAATAGTCAGAAATAGCCAGAATATTTTTTCTTTTTTTACTTTTTTTCCAACCAGAGTACAATGCTTTCAGCTACCCCTTTTCCTAACTGCTCTTCTTGGATGAGGTGTTGGCTGTGGAGTGGCAGCTGTTCCCAGTGTTGGACACCTGTCCTTGCCACACTGCTCTGGAGGTGACTGGGGACAGGGTTTCCTGGCATTACCTTGGATATGGAGCATGGCTGGTTCACAGCCTGGGGTGGCATGGCTGCAGGGAATACTCTTTATTACAGCTGAATGACTAAACTAACCAATAACAGTAAATATTTAATGTGAATCAGACAAACCTTATGACTCAACACTTCTCATGGTATTATGAGATGTTTTTTCTTACCAGTTGTACCTTGAATTCCTGTAACTGCACTCTGCTGGCAATGATCTCAGACTACGGGATGGCAAGATGTGACTACCTATCTCTGTCATGCACCAGGTCATTTGGGTGCTGGGCAGTGCTCTGACTCCCAGTTGCTTATGTATTGTGATCTGTGCTTACCTGGAGAGCAAAGCACCATGAGAGACAGAAAAGTTGCCAAAGAAAAACATACCTCTACTCTGGCCTCTGGCTTAGTTCAATGAAAAGACTTGTCATTTAAGAGATATGTAATCATGAAGAGATAAGTAATATGCTTTTTAAAGATAGATGGTCTGTAATGTATTTTTAGCTGCAATTTAACATATAGTGGGGAAAGCATTTATATAGATATTGGTTATCAGCTCCATGCAGTTGTGAGTTTTAAAATTTGCAGAGGGGAGAAAGACTCATAGAACCTTCTGGGGCTGATTTAGAGAGATTTGAGCCTCAAGAAGTTGACATATTCCTGCTGTTCAAGTTATCTTTTGTTTATGGTAAGAATGACTTCATCACCAGCATTCTGCTCCTTTAGGTGTAAACACTGGCTTTGCTCTAGGAAAAAGCTGTGCCAGAGTTTTATCAATGCACATGATACAGTGCACCAGGTGTTTTCAGTATGAAAATGTCTTCACAATAAATCAGTAGGGACATAATTTCAGAGGTTATTTGGTTTGTTCTCACTGTACTTAGTGTGCATGCAAGAGAGAGTGCACATACACTTCAATGTAGGTGACTAGAAACGACACAACTGCTAAAATACAAGCAATACCATGGTACAACACCTGAGGAAAGACAGTTAAGGAGAAATCAAGATGAGGAAACACCTTTCCATTTCCTCCAGGATTTTTAGACTGAGAAATGGTATAAAAATGGAGAAACCTAACCTCTGACTGTGCTTTCATTCAGAGATTTCCTTTTTATTTGACTTATCCTTCTAATAAGACAAGGAGTTTCATTTCATTGTGGGATGTTTCCTTCTCTGAAGGTAGAGGAAAGGGTTAAGGCTCTACCAATATGTCATGAATTCCTTCTTTCAGAGGCTGTGGTAATGTATGGAAAGGTCTATAAGCATGGCGTTTTTGTATTTTAATCCTCTTCCATTAAATTCTAATGACCAGTTGCTAAACGATGTCATGCATTTCCTGCTCCTTTTATGGTGAACTGTTTTATAAAGCAGCAGCTTGGAAGCGTGCAGGAAGCAGTCATCTCTGGAATTGATTGCATTTCTGATAGAGCACTTTTGTACTGTATCCCTGGAGAAACGCTGCAGGTCATAATGGCTTATGTTCTCCTTGTAGCTGCAGCAAATTAATTTACAGAAGTAGACCAAAAGCAACTCTACCATCTTTAAAACTCTTACTAGATTTATTTTACTCTGTTTCTTTCTTTCTTTATTTATTTAAAGAAAGCAGATCATTATTACTAGTGGCGGGGGGGAGTAAATGGCTGTGTGCAATACAATGAAACCCTCTAGGTCTGAAAGGGCTGATGTTTATAAATTGATCGGGCATATGATCCACAGAAAACCTATCCAGTTTGGTCAAGTGATGTGGAAAGGGCAGTTGAACAAAAGCAATGTTTGCATACATTGGGATGGCAGTAAAGATGTGACCCTTATGTCTGTCACATGGTTCATTAGAAATGGGTGTCAGCCATTAGGCTTTGATTTTCAGCACAGATAACTAATGAACAAGCAAATAAAGGAAACAAAGGCAGGCCACACTGCAGAGCAGAGTGATGATCTGATTATGCTGAGACACTGGCTGCCACTTTCTTGTCTCGGTGGTCAGTATAAGAGGATGCTTCCCATTGTTTCTGTTTCCACAATTCTGTCCTCAGTCAAATATTGGTAAGACATGAATGGGTCTTTCATGTATCTTCCCTGGAAAATTGCTTTCCTTGGTTACTGATAGAAATCAATAAGACAACACCCCGAGTGAATTCTTTCTGATGCTCCAGATTCAGTGAGTGTCTGGGTGTACACAAAGCATGTAGAAAAAAGCTTTTGAGGTTTCTAAAACACATGGTATTTGCTGTGGTTTCTCTTTTTACCATTTGCAAGTGTGTTGATCTGAAGAATGTGTAGAAACTGAGATGGTTTTAACTCTTTCTTTCTGCAGATACCTGAAATTTTAGCATGGGACTGAAGGTTTCTGCCAAATAATAACTGACACTGAATATCAATCTCTCTACTAGTATCAGGCTGTCACAAACAATTTTTTATGACTGGACTGATGTTAACTTGAGCAGGTTTCACATGACTGACTTACACAGTATCTCAGACCACTTTTTCTTTAATACTCTGATATTGTATGTTCATTGAACCATGAACTACCTCGTCACCAAAAGTGCAAGTGGACTAAGAAAATGCACTGCTGTGACCAGAGAAGGGCTAGGATATTTAAAATATGCTAGTAAATGAACCTGTGTCTTCTACTATAACTTTAGGAAGGTTACCTTCCATATTTCAGCTTGCCTGTTTCTGAAATGTTGATAATCCAATGTCACTGAGTTCAATGGAATTTAACGAATAAATATTTGCAAGGCATTTGGAGATTTCACATAAAAGATTTTGCAGTAATTCTTAAGACTGCAATGTCTTGCTGGTAAAGTCCATAATGGTCACCCTGAGATGAGACTGCTTTTGAAAACTGAGAGAAAGCAGTGGCAAAGGGAGCCTCAGTTTACTCCTTCCCCTTTTTTTTTTTTTTGGTGCTGAGTAACACTTAACACTGTGTGTAAATCCACTGGTTTCAAAGCTTCTCATGTAGAAGAATCTAGCCTGTTCTTTTTCTGGAATTATAGAAATAAGCATACACTAGGCATGCCATAAGGGAATGAGGGGTATAGGACAAATGGATATTGATTTAATTGATATGATTTTCACTAATTGTGTCACTGGCTCCTAATATACAATCATCTTTACATTAAGAAGAAAATTAAGGAACAAAATACTGTGGTTTTAAGCTGTGATTCATCTTTTGCTCCATCTGCTCTCCCAAGCCCTAGATCTGTGCAGCAGTAAAGAAAGGCACAAAGTGATCAAGCAAAAAAACATTTGAGATTTTTAGCTTTTACCTTTTTATCAAGCTGATTTGAAAATTTACATATATATTTTGTGATGTTCTGTTGAATGTTTTGCTTCTTTCAGTGGCCACTTGGCTAAGAAGACGAGGGCTTGAAAAAAGCTAAGCTTGAAAGTCCTGCCAGAGGTGAATGGTAAGTACCTTGTCATTTTTCCTGCTGCTTTTTTTTGGATGGTTTTAGGCACGTTGAATTTGATAACTTATTGTGTAGAGCCAACTAATCAAACAATAGTTTTCAAGTAAGTGGCAACACTAGGACCAGGCAGAAAAAGAGTGGGAAAATTGTAGAAACCTCAGAAGCATGGCTGAATGTCAACTCTGAAAGCACAGTATTAACTTTGCAAGGAATATGAGTGATAGTGATGGGTTAGTGATATCCATTCTCTCTGCTTTTTCTCTGTACTGAAAAAATAATTTTGTGAAGAACTCATTGGATCATCTGTTAATGTTTGTATCTGAGAAAGGAATGGTATTGGATTGAATGATATTTGTATATCGTTAATATTGGTCATAAGACAGTTGGGATTTTGGCATCAAAACAATCAGAAAAGGGCTATCTGTTCTTAGTTTTGAACTTTATTCATTGAAATTGTTTTCATGTGGTGAACAGTCCTGAAGACACACATCCCTACTTGGTGCTCTTCCTACTTGGGTCTCTGGGCTATTAAAAAATCAAATTTTATCATGTTCCCTTACATTTGAATGAAGCTGGGCTCTTGCAGGAAAGAGGAGTTGTCACTATTGATATATTTATTTTCCTGGGGTCATTTAGATGGGTCTTTTATCATCTTTATAGCAGCAAAATGAGAATGTGATGATTGTGAGGACTCTGGAATAGAGTAATCAGACTTTTTGCATGTGGAAACCCAAGAAAAGTGTGATCTATAGAACTATACTTTTATCCATGAAGGTCAGAGAGGTGACTGTGTTTTCCAGGATCTTTCCTTTCCTTGGGGCTCTAAGCAGCCTGGGCTAGAGGAAGGTGTTCCTGCCTTGGCAGCGTGGTTGAAACTAAAGGATCTTTAAAGTTCCTTCCAACCCAAACCATTCTATGCTTCTCCCTCCTGGATGCTGGAAGGTCTTAATCTCTAAATTTAGGAGAGGTGTTAAGAAAGAATAGCTGAGTTAGGAGTAGATTGATTGGTTGTCCCTTATTTTTAAGTCTAGTCTTTAGTGGAATGATGATTGCTTATTTTGCACCTGTCAGTAACAGACCCTACCCCATCACCTCCACTCCTTCCCCCAAAGTTCCAGTAGAAAAAAGCATCCATGAGTTTGAATGCAGTAATCTTGGCATTTTTTATAATCCAAATCTGCCCACCATTGTTGTAAAATTCCAGGAGTATATTTCCAAATCTTCTCAAACTGTGATTTGTTCCTGAATATGCATTTTGCATTAGTAGTTAATATTTGCAATGGGGTCCCTCTCCATGCATTAAAAAACACAGGCAGTGTCCCTAAGGAAATCAGAGCACTAAAATGCATCAAGATCTTTGTGAAGATGGTCACAGAGAGAGAGAGAGAGAGCAAAGTGACATTGTATTTAATGAAATGCCTCCACAGCAGTCTCATCTCTTTGGATGATGACAGATTATATAGAAACATAACCTAAGCACTGTAGGATGCAGCCAGCATGGTGGGGGAGAACTAAAAATTCCTGTAAGCAGAGCAGTCTCTAGATAAAGACATACTCAGGGCAAAAATGTTCATCACAATGTGCTGAGCAAGGAAATTTAGACATTAATAGTCATGATAAGTCCTTAATCTATATTTCCTATCTGTTTTTATTTATAAAAGTCATTTTGATTTACATATTAAGAAACAGGCAACTCTGTCTTACTAGCTACTTTCTGGATGAGGCACGTTTTCCGTAGACTTTTGACAATACAACTGCTTACTACTATAAGATTGCTAGTGGCCACACTTACATGCTAAACAAAGAGAAAATTCCCTCAAATACCTATTTCTATACATCTGTTTTTGCTTGCTTTCCTAGTTATGACAGGATGCAGATACAGGTGGTCGAAATGTTTGTGTATTGGGACTCTGGGAGCCTCCTTATTGTCACTGCTTTCATAAATTCTTTAGGTAAGGTTCATAAATGTATTACTCTCCATCTGGCTATATTAGAATGTGGTGTTGGAAGATATTTTGTAGTCTTCATTTTCTGAAAGATAAATTCTAATGGGATCTGTCACTGTAAGCATGACTATAGCAAGTAAGTCATTCAAGAACTCAAGTATTCTGATTTGGGTTATTTCATTCTCATCACCAAAATTCCGCTCTCAATTTTAGGTCACCTACCCAATCACTGAAGACCGTGGCAGAGAGGTGCTTCTGTATTCTGCTCCAGCTTTGCACTATGCAGGTAGCAGAGTTTCTTGTATATCTTGTGCCTATCCACCACTTGGCTGAGTCTTCTGTTGTCTATGCCCTGTTAGTAAAACCCACCAGAAGGAAGAGGAATAAACTAGAAATTACCCTATTTCTTGGAAAATGAAGAAGGTTGTACTATTCCTGCTGCAGTGTTTCTTGTACATTCACCAATTTTCCCTTCTCAATCAGCATTTCTCTCCCCAGTCAGCACACATCTCTACCTCAGCAGCATCAACAAATCAATGGCTGTAGTTGTATAGCCTAACATAACTCTGAATTCTCTGGGCATTTCTGCAACTAAATATTGAAAATTAATTTCTGTTAAAATATTTTCCATGTAATATAATGTTTTCCAAAGCACATTATTTTTTTTTTTTAACATATGCTCGATCCTTTTAATTATGGATACATTTTCATATTGCAAATTGTGTATCCATTAAGCTGTATGTTTAACATTGTTCAGTTTCCTGTTAGTATTTATCCTGCAGTAATATTCAGGAATGGAACAGTGAAAGGTTCTGTTTATCATTTGGTGTTCATTTATTATTAATCTAAGATTTGACAGACTCCAAGAGTCTTTTGTTTTTTCTTGTGGCACATAAGTGAGCTAGAGGAACCAATAGAATTTTTATGTTTAATGGAAATCCATTTTTCTAGAGTGTTGTTGTTTTTCCAAATACACTACCTGCTAAAGGAGATTATGATTCTGATAATTTTTGCTACTTTTGATTTAAGAATGTATTATAGGTAGATCAATTAAAATTCTATCTCCAAAAAGGAGAGGGAAATGCAATAAAACCCCCACATTATAGAATTCCACTGGCATAAACTTATTTAACAAAAATTTTCAAAAATATACAAGAAAGCAGCCAATATATTTTTCATGGTAGCTAACTCTGAGAGAAGCAAATCACATAAAAATGCAGTACTTTTGGTGCGTTTATAAATACCCATAGTGTTCTTGTATCAGAAATTAATATTAAGGAGATTATATTTATAATGCTTATCCATAGCATTATTTTAAAAAGTAAGTTGAGCTCCTGAATTTTAGTCCAGCTAACATTGCTGCTCTCAGGGGATTTAAAACAAATGAAAATGCCTACTAATAAATGATAACATTTAGGTGCTACTGGGAGTGGGTATTCCAGATCTGGAGTGCTACCAGGTACAATTACTTTGTAAAACTACACCATGCCTCTGTTCAGTATATTACCTCAGGTATAAGACCTGTTTTTTCAGGCTGCTGTTATGCTCCTGCTGTTTCATTCTGAATGTGTCTTAGAAAGATGTGTCTTATTCATGCAAATAATAACCATTTACCATCCATCTCTGAATATGCTTACATTCTTTCTGACTTTAATTAAAGCTGTCATCTGCTTCAATCCCCTTATTTTAACTTACTTGTCTTCGGGTTTATTTGACCTTTTGAGGTAGCAATGTCAGCTCTGAAGTATTTTTGTCTATTTAGTGACTACTATCTAGCAATATACATAGAATGAAAATCTATAATTTGACAGGAGGCAAGGAAAGTCAAAGTAGTAAATTTAGATCAATTTGTGGTCTATTCTTGGAAATAGTTTTAGCCTTTAGTGGGCTTTAAATTGATGCAAAGCAGTTACTGAAACAAAGCTAAAGATTCATCAAACTTGTTATTGTAGTTAAATATAGTAGCAATATTCAGGAAGGTGTGTACCCACATGACCCTTTGGTAACCAGTTTTATTTTAAAGCAGTTGTGAAATTGTTAAAAGTGAATTATTAATATTGCAAAAATCAAAAGATACCTGAGAAACTGAGTAGACAGATAGTAAAATTCTGAGACTATTGGAACCCATGACAATAATTCCTATGCCAATAGGAATCCAGTAATTCAGACCCTTTCCTGTGTATACCAGCTAAGCTAAAACCTGAAAAGCAGAAATGTGATCTGATAAGTAATTTCTGCAGGTGAAAAACACACAGGATGGTTTGTGTGCATCCCTTTGTGACTGAGGCAGTAAGAGTTCCCTGTTCATTCTCCCCTAGCAGTGGAAACCTGCAAAAACACGAGTTCTTGTTCTTCCTCGAGGACTAGCATGCTGTGAAAGTTGCACTGCTGTAATGATAAGGTACAATCCAGTGGAAGAAGTAGGAGGATCAGAATAGTAATATAAGTTTTCTTGCAGCAGTCAGTAGAAAGGCCCAAGAAAACAGAAGGGAAAAGAGTTCTTTAAACCTTTCTTAAACTCTCTCATAAATCTTTCTATAACCTTTCACAGGCAGGTGGGCAGGCGGGCAGGCAGGAATTTCTAGGAACATGCCCCACCAGCCCCACTCGTAGCTGTGTAGGTATGTGCATGCACACACAGTTTTGTTCCCATTCTAAACCTAGCCTGGAATCTGAAATGGGATGATCATCTTGCTCTGCAGGAAGACCCTCTGAGTATGTGGTTTCTGTCAGCAGTGGCAGGGGAGAGGAGGAAAATGACACTGGAATTTGAAACACGAGACAGTGCATCCCAGTGGCCCTGTAATCCTAACAATGATAACTTGCCTCCATTACAGAATTTGAATATGGGGAGCCTCAAATCACCCCATGCACAATCACAGCCTTCTTAGTCTGCAAATAAAGCAGTGAAGAAAACAGAACATTAAAGGCCTAATAAATTTCCTAGATAAGTTTTGAGAAGTGAACTTATGAAGAGCACATCAGTCTGTGGTGACAAGGAATTGGCTTTCATGTCTCTTGTTATCATTTTGAAGGTTAAATTTGGTCCCTGGGTTAGAAGCACTTGAGTGTTGTGACTGGAGTAGGATGGTTTGGCACTCTTTTAGATTCCTCATCTGAATCCCTCCATCAGCCGGGGCGGCAATGGGTCTAGTGCAGGACAAACCCCATCTTCAATCTTCTTTTGGTTGTCCTGGATATTTGATTTCACCCTGAGACTAAAGTTATCCTATCTTTACTGCCACTGTATAACACTCTCATATGGGAATCAGTAGTCAAATTATGATCTGAGGTTTGAAAACTTTTCCTGTCTTTATAGTCATGGTTGCCAGGAGAAATCCATGACCAGGCACGTTTAATGGGATCCATCTGAGAACATGGGTATGTAGGTAGATGCCACCTGTACATGGTAAATTATGAATGATTTATCTAAACTATCTACATTGTATCACTATTAAGTCATATCATTCTGACAGATTCACATCATGTCTCATAAGGAATCTGACATTTTATTCTTTGTAAATCACAGTGTTAGCAGTAAACAACTAAACAGTTACTGAGTCTTTCATTGTCCACTCCTCATGTGTCTGTTAGAATCTTCATTAACTTCTGCTGTAGAAAGTGATCATTTGACAGCCTGTAGAACATTATTTTTTCTTTTTTTTTCTCCTGGAACATTGAGAGTGCAGTTTGATGTGTGCTCTGATGTGTATTGGGTTACAATTATGACATGAATCACTCTTGCCTGACTTGACCACAAGCTAGTTGACTTCCTATTGCATGTCTACATTGAGATTTCACAATAATTAAATCATTAAACTTATAAAACATAGGTTACTTATTTGAAATATAACATGAGACTGAATGGCATCTGTAGTACTGAAACAATTCACTAAATGCACATCTGTGCTCCTACTGTTTACAGAATTTATAAATCCGCCATCTGACACTTTCAGGAAATGCTTGTGTATGCAATGTGGAGATCAATATCTTGTTGGTAGGAAATTGCCTTTCTGTTAGTCTGGGAGATCAGTGTACAGGGGGCAGGGCTCGCTGTTAGTGTTTTATGTCTGAATAACCTTATTTTTTTTCTGGTAGAGTCTCTTGCTTCTGTTTTACAGTTGGTTGCACGTACCTTAAACAGAACACCCTAAGCTACAGGTAATAATGGTTTGGTTGCCCCTGCGTTGATTTCTTCTCTGTCTGTTAAGAAACCAAGGCACAAAAATTAAAATTTGTGTATTTGCAGTGAATCTGCAAGTGCCTTGTAGGGAAACAAAAAGAAATTTCCTGAAAAAGAATCGCATCTTTGCTAGGCATCTTTGATGCATTTTAACACAATAAACTGTGAATTCTGACAATATGTACGTGTAGTGAAGACAACCATCAACAAGGGTTAGAGACAGCAGAACTGGTGTTATTAATGCATTGCTGGATTTAGCCAGGAGATTTAGGCTACAGGGGTCTGCCCTTGTCTGATATGTAATAAATAGTAAGGCTTTATCCTCTCCGTGCTTCTGTTTGCCCATCTTTAAAATAAACATAAAGCTTCTGACTTCCTTGGTGGGGAGAGAGAAAGAGAATGAGAGAGAGAGCGAGAGGGAGGGATTTTTATTGCTCAGGGGTGCACATTTTTACTCCTTGCTCTGATGCATATAAGGGTATTATGGACTTTTAAGGGAAGGGCAGAGAGCAACATTGTTTGACCATTTATGTCAAGATAAGAGCTAACTTATGAGCCAAAAATTGTAAAGTAGGGATGCAAGGTGGGATGTTCTTTGCTTGACACATGGTCACAGCAGACAGTTTATCAAAAGGAAGATGTCTAAATGTTCTCTTGGTTCAAAAATATCCAACAAGAATAAGATGGAGAAGAAGAAGAACCAGTGACTGAAAGTAAAAACCTCAGAATTGAAATGAAAAGTAACATGCAAATTCAAATTGAATGTGGATGGCTTTTAGAAAGATGTGCTTTTGCTAAACTCAAATTATTGCACTCAGAATGGGTGTAATTGAATGAAAATCTTTGCCCTCTGGTAGAAAGATGCTCTAATGGTTTCTCTGGCTTTAACATGGGAAGCTATGGCAACAAATGACTGCAGTAATAAGACTCTTTCCCTTCATTAAATGAAGCAGCTGCTATTGAAGGATCTGCCACTGTTATCTACCCCTGAAAATCTCTGACACAGAAATTTAGCTCCTGAAGCAAGGCAGGTTGCCAGGTGTTGAGCTGAATGAATGGCCTCTTAGTTTCTGTGAGTGAAGGTGGCTGTAACCAGCTGATGG